TGAATCTATGGAAAGTTTAGTAGACTTTTTGAGATCCGAAGCAACTACTTTAGATCGATTAGGACTCTCAAGTCGTTCACCGATTAATACTGTGAAATCACCTAGAGCACATCTCAATGTCTTGCAACAAGAATTGAAGGGAACCGGTTTGCCAACTCAATACTCTTCTAAGAAATGCATTTTGGGATGTGAGAATGCACGTTGATTCATTGACTGTCCAATATACATGCAAAAATCAGTTAAAGATAAACGACAATTTATTAGTGAAAATCAAAGGTGCTCCACATGTTTAGGAATGCATATGGCAAAGAATTGCAACAGGAAGATAGAAGATGGTGTGTTACATGTGGTGGGAGACAGCATCACAGGACACTGTGCCCCTCCCCAATGAAGGACATTGGTCAAACCACTCCACTTAATCCAATGGTGGGGGGAATTTAAGCCCGAAAATGTGACACCAAATAATGACAATACAGTGTCAGGATCAGTTGCGATCAGTAAGAATATTCAAGATAAAGTTGATTACTCCCCCTTACTTGCTGTTAATGTTAGATCTGCGGACGGTGTTTGGATTAGAGCAAATTGCTTTCTTGACATGGGGAGTGATACCACTTTAGTGCGCAAGCAATTTGTTAATTGTCTTGGTTTACCTCATCTTGGTTCAAGTACCCTTAAGTTTGGCACAGCGGGGGAAAACGTACACGAGGAACTTTCACAGGATTTTAACTTGGAAATTAAACCCCTCAAATCAGACGAGTGCTCGTACAAGATTGTCGCATCGTCAGTAGTTAAGCCATGCTTTGATGTTAACCCCATACCTTCGAAAGTGTTTGCAGAGTATGAATACCTTACACCATATGGTGACCAAATTGCTTCATATGGAGGACCAGTGGACCTTCTCATAGGTAGAGATTATGCACCTTACATACAAACATTAAATGTTTTGCAAGCCCCTTCTGATCCAGAAAAATATCCATCTATTTCTTTCACCAAACTTGGTTGTTATCTCTTTGGTGGTATTGTTGAACACCCTGAACAACGATTCGCCACAATGGCCAAAGTGAATTTCCTTAGTAAGTCTGAAGACCAGAAACTAAGAGATTTTTTTCCATGGGGACATTCTTGGAGTGAAGCCTACTAAATTTCGCACCTGCTCGGACACTGAGATTTCAGAGACGGCTTTCATAAAACATGTTAAAGCTACAACAACCATTAGTAATGAAGGTCGAGTTCGGATCCGGATACCATGTAAATCCAGATTTTAGATTCAAAGGAAGCTGCACATGCTAAAGAAGAAAATCCTGGTACTTAAACCATAGGATTATTGAAAGACCGGACAAGTCATCGACTAAACTAATAGTGGTGTTTGATTCAGCATCACCATTTCAAGGTATATGCCTTAACGATGTATTAGAAAAGGGACCAAATTTCACGAACTCTTTATTCAGATGCCTGTTAGCTTGGAGAGAAAAAAGCGTTGCAGTTACTGGAGACATTTCTAAAATGTTCAACCTCGATCGAGATGTCTGAAGCAGATCAAAGGTTTCATCGCTTTATTTGGAGATATGGGAATGAAAGGAGCTCTGCGCTGTTTGTGTTTCAGTGGAAACGTGTTCTCTTTGGGGATGCTTGTAGCCCTGATCTTGCCATGTTCGCCATTCGCATGCTAGCTGATGTTAAAGAAAACGCCCAACCGATTGGTGCAAAAGCTTTGAAAGAAAATACATATATCGATGACGTTGCGAATTCAGTCTCGGAGCCAGAAGAAGCAAAACGAACTATTACAGAGGTTGACAGCATACTAGCAATGGGTAAATTCTCTATCAAAGCCTGGAATTCCAATCACGCAGCTGTATATAAGAATCCGCAAGAGAACGAGGTGGAGTTTCTCGGTCACGTATGGGACAAGCTTAAAGACACATTGAAGGAGAAACCGAAAAACAGTCGTTTTTCCTGGCGCAGAACCTTCGAAAAGGAATGCCTTGGGATTGGTGATGAAACTTTAAGATCTCTTGGCTTCCTCCTTCCTGTCACGATGAAATATCGAATGGATCTACAAGCCATTTGGGAAGCTGGATTCATATGGGATGACCCCCTGTCGGTAGAATCCATTGATGTTTGGCAGAAGCATGTTGAGGAAATGAACAAACTTGCCGAGGTGGAATTAGATCGATGTCTTAAACCCTCGGATGCCAGAGGATTCGCACAACTACATGCTTTTTCAGACGCAGGAGATCGAGGGTTTGGCACTTAATTGCATATTTCTGAGATGGGAAACGACAGCGGAGTAAGACTAACCTTTGTCGCCTCAAAGGCATTTGTTGCCCCGCTCAAATACGAGTTAACGCCCAAGAAAGAATTAATGGGAGCGGCAGCGATGAGTAGGCTAGTCGAAGAAGTTGTAAAAGCCCTAAAATACAGTTTGAAATTGAAACGATTCTGGGTTGATAGCAAGGTTGTTATCTATTGGCTTACATCACAGTCTTCAAGATTCATCCCGTTCGTAGCAACGTGGATTCAAGGATTTCAGGTTTCGCACGGCAATGTGAAAGAAGAATTACGGTACATTCCAAGCAAGCTCAATCCGGCAGATCACCTAACAATCCCTGTTGAAGCACTTAAACCTTGGCATCAAGGTCCTGATTTTCTCAAACAACCGGAGAGTTCTTGGCCAAAGTTTGATGATGAGCTTGAAACCGACAGCGAAATTTTAGAAAAGCCAAAACCCAAGGTAAAGAAGTATCGCAGGGTAAAGGGTGTGCATGCCGTTCAAACGGAAACAAGCAAAAGTAAAGACTTCGGAACCCGACTAGCAGAGAAACTTTCATCCTGGATGGACTCACTTGAAATTGTCGCATTGAGTAAGATTGTTTTACGTCAAAAGACCTTTTCGTTCGTTGAAGAAAGCTCTGTCAACGTTGTGGAGGAGCTTGGCTCAGCAAAACAGATTGTTATTAAACTTTGTCAAGCATCTTTGTATGAGGACTTGGAGAAGACTCGACGAGAATATTTCAAACACGATATTCGTGTGAATGCCTTTGGCGTCCTTCAAAGTGGGGGAAGATTAGATCAATCAAATTTACTTGACGAGTTAAAATACCCCGTTATCCTCCCTGCACGAAGTCAGCTGGTTCATCTTTTGGCACAGCATTGTCATCGCAGGTTCAAACATCAAGGTTATAGAATCATTATTGCTAATCTTCGCCTGGAAGGAATCCTAATAGTCGGAGGAAGAAAGTTATTGAAATCTGTTGCTGCTCGCTGTTTCTTTTGCAGAACCAGAAGGAGAAAGTTACTTCAACAAAGAATGGGAGAGCTTCCATCATTCCGAATCCAACCCAAACTTGCTCCGTTTACTTCAGTTGCAATGGATTTCTCCGGACATCTTAAAGTCAAACAATCACGAAATGTGGCTGTGAATGGCTCAGTTCTAATCATTACTTGTGCAACTACTCGTTGTATTCATCTTGAACTGTGTTTAACTCAAGATACCAATTCATTTTTAACAGCTTGGAGACGTTTCGCCACTTGTCGCGGTGTTCATCCGTCTTTAGTATTTTCAGATTGCGGAGGAGCTTTCATTGGAGCTGAAAAACCAATCAGAGAGTGGATAGAAGAATGGGACAAGGATTTGATCAAAAGATACCTTGCTAAGAGTGGCACCAAATTTGAATGGACGTACAACGTTCCAAGCGCATCTCACATGAATGGTGTAGTTGAGTCACTTATAAACTCAGTCAGGAAAGCATTAGACGCGTCTGTTTTCAACTACACTTACACTCAACTTACATATGAACAGTGGGCGACAAACTTTCAGAGGTGACATACCTTATTAACAGTCGACCTCTTTTTCCAGATGGCTATCCAGTTGATTTTAATTGTATTTCGGCAAACAATTTACTGTATCCATATGGACAAACATTCGTCGTTCGAACGCCAGACGAAGAAAGAATTAATCCGCGCAACATGTTGAAAATTGCCGAGAAGCAAGTAACGATGTTTTGGGATACATGGTTACGTCATATCCCACCTCAATTATTGTTACCTAACAAATGGTTTAGAGCTAGAGATAACCTTAAAGAAGGGAATTTTGTTATTAATCTTCAACCTGGGTTAAAACGTGGAACACTGCGAAGGGGATTGTGGAAGAAGGGAATCGTCCGTGAAGTTCAGTCAAGCCAAGACAACTCAGTCCGAATTGTAACTATACGGGAGAGCGCGGGAAACTTATACAAGAGACCTATTCACAAACTATGTTTGATTGCAACCAAAGAGGAACTTGAAAGTGGACTCCTAGGTTAGACAGTGAAAATCCAAAACTTATCGTTTTTCACTATTATTCAAAACTGCGGGGGAGTGAATTGGATTTTCATATATTACATTGTTGACTTAGGGAAGGGGGGTTAGGACGTTTTGACATTTGTTTGCGCTTGCGCAGTTAGTTTGTTTTTATGTGATCAGAGAGAACGTTAGCCATTGTTAGCCATATTTCATACTTTTGTATCTCGCTAAATTTGAGACTATCTGTTACCGTTTTAAATAATTATTGAAGAATTATACACCAATCTATTGAAGTTTTATTATTCGGTGAGCAGGGTTAGCGAGATTCGATTTAACCCCCACTTTACCCCCACGCTAACCTCTAACCCCTAACTCTAACCCCTAATCCTAATCTAATCGTTAATCTAATCCCAATCTGGCGACCTTTTTTTTAAGAAGTTTCCTGCGCGTCCAGCCTCCCTTATAGGGTGATTGTGGATTTTTATATTAAGGCTATGGAGTTTCAAATGTAAGCCACATCCTTAATTTTCAAAAGTTTTGCAATTACAATGTGTCTGAAGTTATTATGCAAATTAGCTTTATTCAGGTTAATCCAGGTTTTTGTGTATAAATTTCTATCAAACTTTTGCATGGATGAAATTCCTAAGGAAGTCCAAATATGGTGTCAGAATTTACTATGCATATGAGCCCAGTGATAAGTTCATGCAGTTGTCAGATAAGTGACACAGCAGTGCGAACTGGTTTGCTGTCAAAAGGGGGAGATGGAAAGACTTAACGAGTGTGGAAAAGCAAATTATTGCTACAAATCTAAAAAATGGCTTGTCTACACTTCAAATCTCAAAGATGCTGAAGAGAGACCATCGAACAATAAAGAAAGCAGCTGATAACATTCTTTACAAACGAAAACGAAACAAAGGAAAGGGATTGAAGGACATTTCTAAACGAGACCTACGACAGTTAAAGAGAACTATGGTAAATCATCCATTACTAACAAGTGGCGAAATATTTGCGAAAGCAGGAATTGCTAACTTCAAACGAGATAAGAGGTGTCGAATCCTTAAACAAATGGGCTCCTTTAAGAAATCCAATCGAAGGCCACATTTAAATCAAACGCATAGGGAGAAACGTAAGGTATGGGCTAGAGATAATATGAAAACTGACTTCAGCAATGTAGTATTCACTGACGAAAGCAGGGTCACATTAAATGGGCCTGATGGTTGGTCAAAAGGTTGGGTTCTACAAGACAGAGAAGCCCCAATCACAAGGAGACGACAGCAAGGTGGGGGTAGCATCATGATGTGGGCAGGAAATTGTGGTGATAAGCTTATTGGGCCATATAAAGTTGATGACGAAGTAAAGCTGACCAGTCAAACTTATTGAAAATTTTTAGACAAAATCTTCTTTAAGTGGCATAAGTCTCAAAGTCGTTCTTTCAAAAACAAAGTGTGTATTTATGCATGATAAATGCTCCATCACATGCTGCTAATGCCACTCGACAATTTTTGGAGCGAAGAGAATTTCTGGTAGGAAGTTGATGACGTGGCCGCCTGCCAGCCCTGATCTTAACCCGATCGAGAATCTCTGGGCAATAGTGAAAAAGAAGATTTATGTTGGTGGTAAGCAGTAAAACAATAAAGCAGACCTTTGGGATGCTATTCAACAGCATGTATTGTAATTGTAAATTGTAATTGTAAATGTCATTGTAATTAAATTTGCCACACAATACAACTTTTTAAAGAATAAAAATATATAAACAACAATTGATAAAGTAATAAAGACATAAACAACGAGTTTGTTATCAAGTGGCGAGGAAGTCCAAAATAGAAACCATAAGGCTTATAATAGATTTGGACCCCTCATTAACAAGTATGTAGTAGCATTATATATGAGCTAGACGATTGAGGCAGGAGTGGCATATTTAAAATAAATATTGATATTTCGCACTACATAGATCAATTATTAAATAAATATATTTTTAGTTTCGATTGGAATAGAGAAACTGATGCAACATCACGTATACCAGCATCCAGAGAGTTATAAAAGCAAGGACCCTGATAATTTGCGGAAAATTTTCTAATATTAGTTCGACAACTTGGAACATAAAATAAGCTGGAGGCCCGAGTATTATAATTGTGAACTTGATTAGTTTTTATAAATGAACTGGCTAAATTCGCAGGCAGTAAATTGTTCTCACATTTGTACATAAAGATTCCTAATTGAAATAGGTAAATATTATTCAGTTTTAAGATATTTAGATTCCTAAAAATAGCATCGGTATGCGCATCATATACTTCCCTGTTGATGATTCTAATGACACGCTTTTGTAAAAGATGAATTCGATGTAAACACGATGGATACGTGGATCCCCAAATTATTATACAATACTGGAGATACGGGTAAATAAGAGCATAGTAAAGAGTACGCAATGCAGATTTAGAAAGGAAAAAGCTTGATTTGTATATAATACCTATAGACTTTCATCTTTTACTTGCAATATGTGATATGTGGCTTTTCCAGGATAAGTGTTCATCCAATATTACCCCTAGAAACATGGTTTCTCTGACCTGATCTATCTTTTGACCATTTATCTTTAACGATAAATCAAACGTTTGCCTTTTTTGTCTCGGTCTGAAAACCATGTTCCATTTCATCTGCCTGAAGTGATATTGGATGAATTTTCTTCGGTTTCTGAGGATGAAGTTCGGAGGATTATCCTTGAATCTTCAAATGCTTCCAGTAAGTTGGACCCTATTCCTACATCATTGGTTAAACTCTGTTGTCATGAATTGGCCCCAATCATCGCTGAAATCATTAATCTCTCTTTCTCTGAAGGAATTGTACCCGATCATTGGAAAATAGCGCTAGTTCTACCTCTATTGAAGAAATTTGGGCTTGATTTTATGTTTGAAAACTTCAGACCTATAAGCAACCTGCCATTTGTTGCCAAGTCTGCTGAGAAGGCAACGATCTCTCAGTTATCTTGAAGCAGCACTGTGCTCACGTGAATATTTATGAAAGAAACGCTTTTAGCCAATGAAAAGCTTTTACGTATCCAACTAAAACCAATAGCCAATCGCAAAGCAAGTAGGAGCATAAGTTATGCATCACGCGCAATTTTTTGGCATTATTTGCTCAAAGCTTTTGAAGGATTTACCTTCGAGCTCCTTGTTACAAAGTTTAAATCCCATCCACCCACCCCATCTTACTTGCACTTTGGTTACTGCATTTGCTTCCAACACCTTGTTCACATAGTAGTTGGTAAAAGGATCTCATTATAATTAGCATATTATAACGAAACAATGGCTTCCTGCTGTAAAGCTTTCCAAAATGAAAGACTATAAGAGGTGTAAAAGCGCCTATGGACACAAATTTTTATAATATGGCAAATAAATAAAAAATTGTTATTGTTATGGCTGGTCTTCGCTGGTAATAAAAGCTTTCCAAAGTGGAAGACTATCAGAGGTGTAAAAGTGCCTATGGACACAAGTTTTACAATATGGTAAATAATAAAAATTGTTATGGTTCCTTTACTGGTAATAAATAAATAAATAAACATTGGGTTCCGGTGAAGAAGTATTCCAATATGTCAACTTCATTTCCCATAGACTCTAGTAACGTCACATATAAATATATATTTCAAATAATATGGACTGTCTAAGCGGTTCTGTGGACCTTAGACAGGTTAGGGACTGCCCAAGTGGGCAGGTTAGGGACTGTCCAAGTGTGCTCTTGGTCAGATACGTCAGGGGGTCGCTACTCCTGACTAGCATTATCAGTTCAGTACAGTATTAGATATGTGACGATGAGGAGGGATGTCGTTTGACATAAACACAGAGTACTTCCCCCCAAAACACCCCTTCTCCCACAAAACCAAAACGTGTGTTTTTTATTGTGTTAATTACAGTTTATATTCAATGATTCAATATTTGGATCATTAATTATTGTTATCGTAGCAAATAGGATGCTTTGGTGCAACGTCTATGTATAATGATGGCTCAAATCCCTGTTAGAATTACCCCACAAAACTATTGTAGAAGGCGCTCTTCGGTAAACAGGAACTGCAGTAATCTAATTAAAATTCCTAGACTTAAATCAGTTAAAACTAAACAAGTGTTACCTAATATCTTGTCTCTTAATGCGAGATCTATTTTAACTAAAACTGACGAACTGGCTCTTGTTATTCACAATCAAAAATCAGACATAGTAATGGTGTCCGAAACTTGGCTTTCCGATGTTATCCAAGACGAAGCACTACATTTTCCGGGCATACCAGGTTTCAGTGTAATACGGAATGACAGGGTTAATATGAGAGATGGTGGTGTGGCTGTCTTCGTTAAGGATACGATCCCGTTTAAAATCCGTCAGGATTTACTAGTCCTGACTATGAATGTTTATGGATCATACTACGTCCAAAATGGCTCCCCAGATCAATCTCAAAAATTGCCTTGGCATGCGTTTATTTACCCCCACGCTAAATTCTGGAGCTATTGAGGAATTTTACGACTATTTCTGCAGCTGCTACGACGCGCTTACAAGTGAAAGTCCGAATCTATCAATTGTTGTTGCTGGGCATTTCAATTCTGTGAGCAACGGTTTTCAGGAAAAGATAATTACGAACAACTGCCGATTAAAGCAGCTGGTGAAGAAACCAACAAGGGGAACAGCAATTCTTGATCTTATATTTAGCAACGCTCATACTTTGTATGGGGAACCGGAGGTGCTTGCCCCGCTAGGTAGTTCTGACCACTGCATGATCGTTTGGAGACCAAGAGTTCGAACAGTGAATAAGAACATAACAAGGAAAATCATTACTCGACCGATAAAGACCTCCAGTCTTCAGTTATTTGAAGATCTTATCAGCCGGCAAAACTGGCCAATGGTATATAACTCTCCTTGCATAAATAGCAAAGTAGATGCCTTTCTGTCTGTTACATCAGAGATGATTGATATTGTTTTCCTGTTGAAACATTTAAAGTGCATGAGGACGATAAACTGTTTATATCTGGAAAATTAAACAAATGATTTCCAAAAGAGACAAATTGTATCAGCGGAGAAGAACTGACGATTTTAAATCATTGCGTAATAAAATCGTTTTGGAAATTCGAAAGGAAAAACATAAACTATACCACGAAAGGATTAAACCTGCCCATGTCCAAGATCCCAAAACATGGCGGAAAAACATTAAAAAAATAGTTGGAAAGAAACAACAAGAGTTTACTCTCATTAATCCTGCAACTGAAGCTCCATTAAACCCGAAAGAGTCCGCTTATCACATGAACGACTTTTTTAGTAACCTCACTAGCGACTTTTCAGAAGTAAGAAGTGAATGGCTTCATGTTGGATTCAATAAACCCTTACCATATATTACGTTTGACAGCGTTGTGAACAAGCTAAGCAGCCTTCAAGTAAACAAAGCAGTGGGTCCCTTTGACCCTAACACAAAGATAATCAAGCTATTTGCAAAATACTTTGCAGGGCCTCTAAGACGCATATTTAATGAGTCTATTTCTTGTTCGCTCTTCCCGGATATATGGAAAGTATCCAAGGTGTGTGGAATACCAAAGAGCAAGCCTTGCCGTTCAGTAGATCTTCTGAGCCCTAATGCACTAACAAGTATTTTGTCCAAAGTCCAAGAGTCATACGCCACCAAATGGATTTATGAAGATTTTCGGGACAAAATTAGTGAATTCCAATTTGGCGGCCTTCCTGGTACATCTGCAGTTCAAGCCTTGATCTATCTACTGCATAAATGGCACTCGGCAATGCACACTTCAAGAACGGTCATTAGAATTGTTTTCCTTGATTTTCGGAAGGCGTTTGATCTTGTAGATGACAACAAGCTTAAGACCTTCACTGGAATCGATGTACGGCCCGCATTAGTGGGTTGGTTTGCGTCCTATCTACATGGCAGATCGCAATTTACATCATTTCAAGGTGAGCAATCAGACCTGTGAAAGATCAGGGATGGAGTCGTACAGGGTAGCAAGCTGGGTCCAATAGCATTTATCATGAAAATTAACCATCTCCCACAAGTCGCTGTATCTAATGAGCAGGAACAGATATATGAAACATCTGATGATCAAGATATAGCTATGTTCGTTGATGATACTACATTGTCCGAAGTCTTTTCCATAACTCAACATTCATCTGGTAGCCCAATTGGTAACACCCAATGAAGTGTAAATAACGTAGTGCAATTTGCAAAGGATGAGAGTATGGAACTGAATGGGAAAAATGTACAGAAATGCTAATTGATTTTTGGAAGAAGAAAACAGAAATACCACTGATTAATATTGGCGACGATAAAATATCCCGTGTAAAGTCGTATAAATTGTTAGGAATATGGATAGACGATGACATGAGATGGAAAACCAACACCG